AGATGCACGCTGTTATTATATGCACTAGCTACCTTAGGTAACAGCTCATCCCAGTTAATCTGATCTGGCCTAATGTACATGCGCAGAACTTGCTGTAGGATTTTGTTCATTTGCTCTGTCTGACCGTTAGTCTCTGGATGACGGCCGGACGACATCAACAACTTAGATCCGTATACTCCCATGAGTTCTTGCCAGTTCTGGCTAGTGAAGCGACTATCTCTATCGCTAACTATAGACAGTGGAATCCCATTCTCACTAACCCAAYAGTCAAAAAAYCTCTGTATTACTAAGTCGGTACGCGCCTCTGAAGGCAAAGGAACAAAAACTGCGTACTTGCTAAAGCGGTCAACTATGACCATGACTTGGCTCTTRCCATGTCTACTCTAGACTTGGGTATCCATGAAGTCGATAGACACTGAGTCTCCCGGTTGGTCCGGAATGGGCAAGGGGCTGAGAAGACCTAACGGGGCACGCGTAGAAGACTTGTTACGCTGGCAGACTTTACAACTGCGAACATACTCTACGCAGTCATTCTTCATTCCCGGCCAGGTATACGCGCGCATCAGATTGGCTAAGGTCTTTTGCCAACCGAAATGACCCTCTGTGTCGTGGCATTCCCCCAAAATCAAACTACGGATGTCTTCGCTATTGGGAATGCACAGGCGGTCAAATACATTAGTCTTCTCGAAGAGTAGCCCTTCAGTAGTGCGGTAATTCGGCTCGGTCTCTGGGGCCTCCTTGACTCGCGTGAGGAGCTCACTATAGATAGGGTCCTGCGCGTAGGCTTCTCTAACCTTCTGCTGCAGATCCTTTCCTATATCGAGGCAATGTACTATTGCCCCAAAGTAATCTGGTGTCCTACTCAAAGCATCCGCGACTACATTGTACTTCCCTTTAACAGGCTTGAGCTCGAAGTCGTACTGATCTATCTCTGTGGCCCACCCAGTAAGCTTAGGTGTCATCTTGGCCTGGGTCTTTAACCATCGTAACGTTTCATGGTCCGAATAGACTTTGAAGTGCCTCCCAAGCAAGTAGTGCTTCCAGTGGTCTAATGCTTGCCTGAGAGCGTAGAGTTCCCTCTCAAAGGTAGATGTCGCAACCTTCTCTGAAGGCATCCTAGCGGACATGAACTCTACGGGTCTATAGCCATTGCCATCGTCTTGCTGTAACACTGCGCCTATGCCGTACTGGCTAGCATCCGTAGTAATGACAAAAGGCAAGGACGGATCGGCGACCTTAAGGACCGGGTACTCTATCAACGCCTGCTTTAGCTTCTTCATGGCAGACGTGCAGTCCTTGTCTCACTTCCAGATTGTCTCTTTTCTTAGCAATTTGCGAAGGGGTGCAGCGATGGTGGAGAAGTTCCTCACGAACTTCCTGTAGTAATTTGCTAAGCCCAGGAACGAGCGCAACTCTGTCAGCGTACGTGGCGTGGGCCAATCTCTAATCGCTGCGATCTTGCTATCTTCTGGCTTAACGTCGTCTCCGTCTAAGATGTGGCCTAGATACAAAACTTGGGTCTTCGCCCAATCGCACTTCTTCGCATTGATCTTGAAGTTAGCTTCTCTCAGCTTCTCCAAGACCTGCCTGAGATGATCCTGATGCTCGTCGAGGGTCTTACTAAACACTAGAATGTCATCTAGGTGCACTACAACAAATCTATCTAACCATGGCCTAAACAAATCGTTCATACAACGCTGGAACGTAGCTGGCGCATTGGTTAGTCCAAAGGGCATCACTATAAGCTCATAGTGCCCGTACCTAGTCCGGAAGGCTGTCTTATACTGATCATCAGGATGTACCTCTATCTGATGGTATCCGGACTTTAAGTTTATCTGATGGTATCCGGACTTTAAGTCTATCTTAGAGAAGTACTTGGCCCCCTGCACTCGATCTAAGAGATCGTCTATCCTAGGCAGTGGCTCAGCATTCTTTACTGTAATAGCATTCAGACCCCTATAGTCTATACACATCCTCAGCTCTCCCTCTTTCTTAGGGACAAAGAGAACAGGGGCTCCAAAAGGAGACGAACTGGGCCTAATCCAACCCTTTTCGAGGAGCTTGTCCAACTGCTTCCATAGCTCCTCTAACTCCCGCGGGGACATCCTATATACAGCACCCTTAGGAGTTCTCCTGCCAGGCTCTATCTCAATATGGTGCTGGATGGGCCGCGGCACCGTGCCTGTCGGCGGCTTAGTTAAATCCTTAAACTCTTCCAGCAATTTAGCAATAGTAGGGTCTACGGGCTTCTCTTCCTTAGGCTCAGTCACTGGCCTAATATAGGCGACAAAGACCTGTTCCTCCAATTTCTCCTTCTTCACCAATCTGGCGAATGCGGGCGCGCTCAGGCAACAATGTGCCAAGGAATTCTCTACGCCTGACACATGGAACAGGCGGGCAGTCCTAGCCTCGCCTGAAGAACTAGGGAGCCTACACTCGTGCTCCTTCAAATGGAGCGTGGCCCCGACTGCCTCTCCCCAATCCATTCCCAGGACAATGTCGAATGGGAGGTTGTCTTCTACGAGGAGAGTCAGGGAATGGAGAACTTTCTCCACCTTCCCATCCTTCTCTAGGCGGAAATACGCCTGGACTCCCTCTACATACTCCTCTACAACCATAGTACGATTGTCTGCGAGGATACTAACTATGGGATCTGCTAGCTTTTGGACTTTAAGCCCCAGCTTCAACTTCTGCAGCGCCTTCCTACTAATATAGCTGCGGGTAGCCCTTGAATCTACTAGGGCCCCTACTCTACTTCTAAAAATCTCTGTATCTAGCAATATAAGCTGCCCTTTATTCTCCTTCTTCATCTTGGCCCAGGCGGGCATCCTCTCCTTCAATTCTTCGGCCACGCCTGTGAGGGAGGTGTCTAAAGAGACCCTGACACAAGCAGTCTCTGGACAGCTGTCTAGACACCGGCCTGCAACCTCTGCCATAGGCACATGTGGTGTGGTAGTCTCCTGCCGGCTAGCGCTATATTCCCCACATGGCCTAATGGTAGGGGCAGTTGCTACTCCTACCGGCGGCTGCCTTTTGGCCCTTGGGCAGCCGTTCGGGTCTCTCTATACTTAGGACAATATTTGATGATATGGCCYGGGTCACCGCAGAAAATGCACTGGCCCCGGTCCAATCGTTGTTGCCATAAAGCCTGGTCCAKACCCAAAGATTCCCAAGGCCTACCCTGAGGTAGCCYTGGGTGCCATCCTCCTATTCTATAGGGAGACCTATTCCTAGGACGGTTTTGCGGGGGACCTWGACCCCTGCCTCCCGCTTGGCGGTTTCCTCCTCTGCCACCAACCCCCTGATCGCCCTGAAATCGACTTCCTAAGGCCCGGTCCCCTTGGCCCTGGCCTCTTCCTCCTTGCGGCCTCCCTCCAGCCGCGACAGCAGCGTAAGATCTCCCTTGGCCCACACCGCTGTCCTCCTCCTCTAACCCCCACTCAATCTGGTCGTAGGGGATCTCATCCACACTACCCTCATCTAAGRTKARGWCAAGGTTGTCCTTGGTCTTTACTTGCCCTGAGATAGTGCGGCCCTTCCATTGCTTACCCTTGTCCAAGTCCTTGTGCCAGAAAGTGGACACAGACRMAGACTTRGCTTCAAAAGCCACTACTTSGCGACTAAGGGAATCGTATGTAGTGGCAGGGTCTTCGCTCTTTGCGAAGAAATGCCCTCGGAGGGCTTCGGGTATAGCCCGATAAAAGAGGCCAACCAATTGGGTGTCTGTAACTCCGTGGTCAGGGACAGCTACCAGTTCGTCCATGGTACTCTTAAGTGCCCTGGCACTCTTCCACTTACGAGCGTGGATCGTCTGCAGCCTGTCTGAGGCCTTAATGCTACGGGCGACATCGGCGAACCTCTCGCGCAACAGCTTCAAGAACTCAGTGAGGGAAGTGGACGAGGAGTACGCAACGGGGTCATCGCTGCAATTGGCAGTGCGAGCTAGGGACCTTGCAAAGCTGGCGGCTTCATCTCTGAGCGCGTGAATCGCAATCAGAACCTGCTGATCCGGGGAGACCTGTTGCAGATGCACATAGGTCTTGACATTGGCCTCCCAATTGTCGAAGTTCTCTTCCCTTTTTCCACTGTAGGAACCAGGGAATTTGACTTTGACCGGTTCCCGACGAGGAGGACGTGCCTCCTCCTCCTTGGGAGCTGCCGCTTTGACGCCCTCAATGGCGCCGACACAGAACCGCTCAGTCTTGTCGAGGCGGTGACCCACCTCGGTCCCTATAGCGCCTACCAGCTCACGCGCAAAGTCTTGAAACCCCAACTTTATGGAACGCACAGYTATGTGTTGACTCCTACTAAAATCATATTGCTCCGCCTGAATTCGTGCCAGGCGTGCAACGTTTCGGGCCATGACTCGCATTTGCGCTGGGAGTTCGGTCTGGGCGGCCAGTTGCTCTTCTATATTCTTTACTTCCTCTAATTCTTCTGCCGCCTCCGCTGCCGCGTCCACTCTCCTCTTCTTCTCCCTCATCACTGCCAACTTCCACTCCATCCTCTTTTCGTCTTCCAATGCCTGCCGCTTCACAACATCCTTTTCTGCTTCCCAAGCTCTCATAGCGGCTTCCTGATCATCTTTAGAGATATACATCGCCACCTCTTCTTCTTCGCCCAGGGATAAGTTGGCGACCCACTCGGAGATTCGCTTCTCCATCTCTTCATCCCTACTACCACTGTACTGCACCCTCTTCCTCTGCAATGGCGTTTCATCTTCTTCCTCCTCTYCCACCTCTTTCAACTTCTCTTCTTCTTCTTTCTGTATCCTCTCCTTCTCTTTGGCCATCTCTTCCTCTATCTTCTTCAGTTTGGCCGCTTGCTCCTCCTTCAAGGCCTTCTTCTTGGCCTCCTTTTTCTCCTTCTTCTCCTGCAGAATGATGGCCATCTTGTCCTCCTCCTCCTTCGTGTAGGGGTTGGTGGAAGTACGACCACGAGTGGGCCCTACTCTACACGTGAAAGTGGGCCAAAAGCCCAGAGGAAAGAGGAGACGCCAAAGGGTCCCCCAGAGGGAGAACCCAACAAGTAGCCCATACATCGGATAGTCATCCATCGTGGTGTTGGTGCACGACAAAGGTCCCACTCCTCACCACATAGACGTACCCGGACACTCTAACCTACTGACTGACTCCCTAAGGACCACAGGATAAGACCCTGTCAATGATGATCACAACTAACCCAAGACTACTCTAAGGTTGTCACTGTAGAACCAAGAGCTGATCAGGAGGTATTTAAGAAGATCCCCCAAACTTCGCAAGAATTCTTTAACGTCGCAGACAGGACGACGCGATCAGCTTGGTTCCTCTGGCGATTTCAGCCCACAACTCAGCCCGTCCAGCCTCCTGTGCCACACCGAGCAGCTCGCCGGTCAGTACCGGTCCTTGGAGGGGTTCGTATCCCTCGGGACAGTCGAGTCGTCAAACACGGATCATCAGCCTTCTGGTCCGGTAGGGGAGTGGCTCAACCAGGCCTCAACACTTAAAGACGGCCTTCGTTTCAGCCTACAGCTCGGAGTTCAGACCCTCCACACTGAACTCAGTAGACCTGCCGGACAGTACCGGTCATTGGGCTAGACGAGTTGTTTAACGAGCGTTCGCCGCTCATGCCTAAGTCTCCAAGTGCCAGAGTAGAGCTTTGGTCCTACTAAGCTCGTGCAGGTTTGGCAGCAAGGCCCTATCCTTCATCCACAAAGTCCTAGCACCTAAGACAAAAGAGACTCAATGCAGAAAGAGTAGACAGACAACTCAGCAAGTACCGTGGGGTAAGTGCACATCCACAGGGTAAGGGGATAGGCTAAGGGCTCAGCGAGATATCACCAACTCCAGCTTGGTCAAAATCTTGGTCAGCAGCTCCGGTCAACGCCTTGGTCAACGCTGAGGCAACGCGGACAACCCCGAGTCAACGCTTGGTCAACACCCTCGGTCAACGCCTGGTCAACCCTCTGGTCAACCCTCTGGTCAACCCTCTGGTCAACCCTTGGTCAACGCTCTGGTCAACGCCCGGTCAACCCTCAACCTCGGCTATGGCTGCCGGCACTATCACCTTTGTCACCCTCGCCGTCTTCTTCCCCTTCCTTCACTTTCTTTCTTCTTCTCCTTCGCTATATATATATGTATATTTTTTTTTTTTATACACACCCCCGGCTATGTCTGTCTTCTTCTTCGTTCTCCTCCTCCCACAGTTCTTCTTCTCTCTCCTCAGTCCCTCCTTCTCTGTCCTCCCTTTCTCTCTCCTCCGGTACTCTGTATTAATACTCCGCGGCTATGGCCGATCGGCCCTGCACACATCGCGCGCATGGAACAGCGGGTACCTGCTCCGATACCAGTGCATTCACACTCCGATTATTCACACTTGTCTTGCATGCAAACAGCGATACAGCAACTGGTGACATGCGCCCTCACAGTACTTAAGATATCGTAACCAGATATGAGTTCTCTTCAACTGGCTATGGCAACTGGGCGCCCACACAACTCACTGTTCGCACTCTGGATCACCCTGGATGTCCCACACGCAACACTCAGTATCATACGCAACACACACACACGCTATGCTACAGCTATGGCAGCGCTAGCTGCCACTACCTATCGCTACACTACACTTCTCTGCCCACTTCGTCTTCGGGCACACTGCAGACCTCCTCGCACAAGCTGCGAAGGCAGCGCTTCCGCATGGCATCCGCAGGAAAATGATCCATGGCTGGACGCAGCCTCTTGATTTATACTTCTGCGCTGCATTGGTCTGCCCTGT